AGCAAGTTAAAGACATCAATTGGCAAATAATCCTTGTCACCAATTGATGTCCTTTTAATCCTTGCTTTCCTGGTGAGTATATACATTTCCTTATATGCTTGCAGTGATTAAAAAGGTTTTATTGCACCAGGAAAGGCGACCGGTGATGTTTTTTCTATATTTCTTAATATCTACAAAGGGCATAAATCTACTTTGTCTGCACCAAATGCCTTTGCAAGCCCAGGTATTACCTTGTAAAAAAAAAAAAAAGGGGCGAAATCATCACTGTGCTGTAAATAGCCTGTGCAGAGGGAAGAAGGGAACTCTGTGTGTCCCCGCTGGCATGATCTTGTGTTTTGGCGACTGTCAATGTCACTGGGACAGGAAGTGAAGGAACTTCTTCCAACAGGAACATACGGCAGTAAAAACCTGTTCCTTCGCTGTCCAAAAAGCAAAAACTGTGGCTGGAGTTCTGCTTTAAGGATGATTTGGGAGTATATACCCCCTTAGGCATTCTCTTTCCATTATTTAATATAGATCATCATATTCTTTGTTCATTTTAATTCTTCCCTTTCACCTACAGGACATTGTTGGCATCCACACACGTTAACCACAACATCTACATCACGGAAGTGAAGACTGGGCGTTGTATTCATTCTCTGGTGGGTCATCGCCGTACTCCATGGTGTGTGACCTTTCACCCTACCATCCCAGGCCTCATTGCATCTGGTTGCCTTGATGGGGAAGTGCGAATATGGGATTTACATGTAAGTGTGTTATAGATCATGGGCTCAATGATTATCTCCGTTCATTGGTATCAAACAGGTGCAGGAACTCTTTATGAAGCCAATAAATGTGTAAAGTAGGCTCTCCGGTGGCCATCTCAGCCCTCCTGTGTTTATATGGCTTACCCCGCTGGTGAATATAATCACAGGACGCAGTATTGCTTAATTCCCACAGCTATATAGGTCCCTGAGGGCTTGTTTTCAAGTCCATAGCCTGACTGGAGTTACTTTAATTCCTTTCAACATTTAAAATTCAGTTTTCAGTGTAATTTGGTGGTGTCCAACTGCGACTGAACTGGTTTACTTTCTGTGATGATCTCCCTCTGTTGCTGCAAATATAATGAACTAGGGAGCCACTGATACCGATACCAAGTATTTGGGTGAGTACTCGTACTCGCCCAAATGCTCCGATACCTTCCCCGATACCGGAACCTCCGGTCAGAGGAAGATTTCCTCTGACCGGCAGTGCCGTAGGGGCACATGGAGCCAGTTTCCCGTGCGATCAGGGAGCTGGGTGGGCAGTAATGACCCGGCTTCCTGATTGGCCCAGCAGCCGGCTCTTTGCTGATTGGCCGGGAAGACGCCTTGATGCTGATTGTGCTTGGCCGGGAAACCGGCTTCCCAGCCAATCAGGCTTGGCAATCAGATTGCCCTGGAAGCCGGCTCCATGCCAGCGGAAGCACTGAAAAGCAAAACATCGGTACTCGTACTCGATACACCAAAACTGGTATTGGTGCATCCCTATAATGAACGGAACTAGGCCAGAGACCATCTTGCGCTACTTCAGTGCTAATGAAGCAAGATGGTCTCTGGCCTAGTTCTGTTCATTACATTTGCAGCAATAGAGGGAGACCATCACAGAAAGTAGTTTAGCAAAAGACAGTCCAACTGCGACTGAAATGTTTTACTAACACACTTAGGTCTCTACAACATAAAGTCTAATCATTCTGTGGCCCAGGATAAGAACTGGGAAGGCCAAATAGCCTGCTTGAGACGACACTGAAAGTCTGCAGAGTACACAGGACAGCTCTAAATGTTTGACAGTATCAACAGTTGTTTTTGCACATGTCAAACAGATATAGCAGAATGCTTCCAATTGTACATTTAACACACCAAATAGGTTAATTGTAGGATTTATATGCACTTTAATGGCTCCTTAGTGTTACAGACATTCTAAGGATCTGCGGCCTTGTGGGCTTCTGTCACCAATCATGTTCCTTCATTTTATTGCCATCAGGGCGGCAGTGAGAGCTGGTTTACAGATAGTAACAACGCCATTGCATCCCTGGCCTTCCACCCCACAGTTCAGCTGCTGCTCATCGCCACCGCTAATGAAATCCATTTTTGGGATTGGAGTCGGCGAGAACCCTTTGCTGTAGTGAAGACGGCCAGTGAGATGGAGCGTGTGCGGTGAGTTTCTCTTTTCTTTTTGCCAAGAGATCTGATGATGTGGTAAAATGTGTGTTGGGGGTCAAGGTTTTTTTTACTTGCCCGCGAATCCAATCCTCTGTTAATGGATAAAGATTTTTTATTTTTTTGGCTGATTTTATACCCTTTTAATCTGTTTTTTTTTTTCTTGTTATGTCTGCTCCTGCAAAAGGGATTATTTAAAGCTGAACTGCAGTCAGACTGCTAATTACACAGATAAAATATGGGTTGTTTTATCTGCCAAATAATTTGTTATTATGTGCATCCAGACTTCGGAGTTACACAGCACTGTCACGCAACACAGCCAAACGCATTATGCCACTTTCCCTGTTACAGTTATTGACTTTTAACCACCTTACGTCCATGGCCGTTTGTGAACGGCCAGATGGACGTCTGCTCAGAGCGGGAGGGCGTCTTAAGACGTCCTGCCCCTCCCCCCTCTCGTGTGCGCGCTGAGCGCCGCACACGAGAGGGAAAACCGTCAGCATGTAAACAGCCAGCGATGGCTGTTTACATACAAGCGGTCAGACGCCCGATCGCTTGCAGGATCTGCGGGTG